TTGGAGCACACACAATCTCCCAGTATGATAGCTTCAGAAGCTGTTAATGTAAACAGACTCTCTCATTTGCATGCAGAGCACTTCATCAATGTACAATGTATTCTCCTTGACCTGGATCTCCTCTTCCAAGGAAAGCTGTCGGCGGCTCAGACCTTTCAGATCTGTCTCAGCTTGTGCCAGTGTGTCCTTCAATCTAACAGGGAAAATACACAAACATTAATTGAAAACACATGGATAGGGTTTTTTTCATATGGGATAAGAATTCTGAGGAAAAAAAAAGATGGAAGGGGATTCACAGAGAGATAATATTCATGCAGCTTCCCTTAAAGTGTCCTGCCCTTTAGGGAAAAGCAATTCCCAACCTTTCATGGAGAATAACTTTAACTCATTAAATTAACCCAGTAATCTATACCACAGATTTTCCCCTCTTTCATCATTTATACTTGCCTTTGAATATTTTTTGTAATCTCTTGAACTTCACTAATCAGCCTGTATTGCACTGTGTCATAACAGAATTCCACATTGGGGCGATGGCTTCTTGCTTCCAAGCGGGTTTGAGCTACTTTAACAGGTCCTTCTTTATCAGCAATTGCTTTCTTTAAGGCTGCAATGTTCTTCTCCTGTGAGGCAGTCTCATCCATTACCTTAACAAATCCAACAGAAGGAAGTGCTGCACGCTGTCTCTTACAATGGGTGAAATCATCAACATCATCTTTAATAGTTATAGTAGTAACAATCACAGTAACACTCAGTGTGTTAGGATGTTGTTTCATCTAAGAATGTTTTACAAAGGTCAGCCAGGGTTATGATTCCTTCATTGGAAAGTAGGCAACACTGTTCTGAGTGAAACTGGAGATTTATGCTCAGCAATTAATTTTTAACATTAACACTCAGTTTTCATGTATCAGATTTTGAGCACATGGACCCTGATTTTACAAGTTATCAGGCTCTTATATCACAATCGTGAAAAGTCTATAGGAGCCCCACGTAACTAAAAATCACAAGGGAAATCCTGACTTTACTGATATCTACAGCAACAGTTACATTGAGTGATTTCAGAAATTCACCTCCATAGTGGTACGCACAGAGCTGAGAGAATACAACGTAAGATGACTTTTGGTGGTGGGTTGCCAAAATTCTTAAAGCAAAGTAGCTCAAGCCACTGGATTGAGAAAAACGGTACATAACCGAAGTCCATTGTTTCCACCTTTTTTTTGACTGTCCCCCTACCACTTACCATTGCAAGGAGAGTCTCTAGCTTGTGCTTGGCATCCTTGACTTCCTTCACCCTATTTCTAAATGCAGCATTCACCATCTCACATTGCTTGCGCATGTCATTTGCTGTCTGTGAGAGGATGCCATCAATCATCACTCTTAGTGCCAAAGAATTGTTTCTCTGCTTGTCAGCCTTTTCAACATTTATGTTTGAGAAATCTATCCAGTTTTCAGGGCTAACAAAACTGAAAGAGATTCAAAATAAAAGGTCATCAACTGGCAGCATCAGGCCCCCTGTGACTTCATAAATCCATAATTACTCCACAAAACCAAGAACAAAGCAGTACTATTAACTGCATGTCCCAGTGAGTGGCAGTTGTGCTGGGAATTCTACAGATACAAAATAAAGACCTTCTCTGTTGCAAACATTTCAGAGCGAAGTAGACAAGGGTAGGATGGAAATGAATTTGCTAAAGTCACAGAACAACTTTGTTATAACTTTCCTTTCCCTGATAAAGGATTAAGTTGTTGTGGGGGAAACAATAACCAGTATTTCTTAGAACACTTTTCATTAATTAAGCTGTTATTACTCATATAATTCCGCTGTTACCATTAATTGCAGGTAACTATTCACACAAAACATTCACTTACTCTCTCACACAGTTCACCACCTATAAGGCAGTCACTTAGAGGACCTGGTTGGAGCAATAGTTGGGAAGCCAACCCCCAGCTGTATCCCCAGCAGTAGAGGGTTATACTTGTGCGCCAGTAGCTTGCAGGTAGGTGCTTGGGAGGTTCCTCAGAGGGTTCCTTGTTTCATTAGGTGGATACATAAAGCTGTAGTTGCCATTTGCATATAGCAGCCAACACCATTCCTGGTCTGACCACCAACTGGTCTGAGTTGTACAACCTGGTGTTGATGCATGCCAATGTGCTACCAGCAAGAGCTGTCAGCTCTTGGTGTACCAAGTTTGTCAGTTCTTGCAGAGCCAATAGTGTCCTTGGGAGACTGTCTCACACACACTGCTTTCTCAGTATGTTTCTTCTTTTCAGCCCATTTTCCCGTGGTAGCTATTTCTCCATCTAAACCATTCATGCTAACTAACCCACACAGAAGGGGTGCATTTGACAGACTAATGACCGAGTTAGAAACTGACTCCACACCTCGTGTGTCCCAGTCCAGTATTCTTGCCACTAGGACACCCTGGGAGACGAGAGGAAGTTAGATTAGTAAATCTGTTCTGGGTTTAAGCTGTGTGTGAAATTTTTCCTTAGCTAACTGTAAGCCTTAAAAACTTTTAGTAAACTGCAGTTCACTGTGAACATAATTATTGTGGCTTATTTCATAGACATATTACACAGATACTTAAAGTGATGGGCAGAAGTATCAAAAACAATCTACAACAGGCAGATGATGGACAGATACAGTCTGTTTTACCAAAATTACTTTCATCTTGCTATTACTGGAACAGCTCATACTAGCTGTATAATTATCATACGTTCATTGAACTAAATAAGCACTTACTTTCCTTCTATTTTCACTGCATTATTAGTGTATCTGATATCAGGAGTGTTGTTTGTCAAGCTAGCACAGTAATCATCAATCATCAAAGCTGTGAACTTGTCCTTCAGATCCATTTCCAGGTTGTATTTTGCTGAACGGTTTAGTCTAGGAGGAGAAACAACCAAACTCTAAGCCAAAGTGTAGGCACTCACAGGAGTCCCTACCTGCATGCATGCATGCATGCATTAGGTAATACAAATGCTGTTATGGGATTTTTCATGTATAAACTGTTAATTGCAAAGTCCCAAAATCTAGAGCACGGAGCCGCCTCCATATAAATTGATGGTACAATTCCCGTTGGAATTAAAGGCAAAGGACTGTATCATGAAAAGACCAGGGATCATGTGCAAGTACTTTGAGTTCTAACAAACAGAACTTCTCACCATTACTGATTGAATGAGCCGGCAGTGTGCCCAGGTGGCTAAGAAGGCCAACAGCGTCCTGGCCTGTATCAGGAATAGTGTGGCCAGCAGGAGTAGGGAAGTGATTGTGCCCCTGTACTTGGCACTGGTGAGGCCGCACCTTGAATACTGTGTTCAGTGTTGGGCCCCTCACTACAGGAAGGACATTGAGGTGCTGGAGCGTGTCCGGAGAAGGGCAACGAAGCTGGTGAGGGGTCTGGAGCACAAGTCTTATGAGGAGCGGCTGAGGGAACTGGCGTTGTTTAGTCTGGAGAAGAGGAGGCTGAGAGGAGACCTTATCGCTCTATACAACTACCTGAAAGGGGGTTGTGGCGACGAGGGTGTTGGCCTCTTCTCCCAAGTAACTAGCGATAGGACAAGAGGAAACGGCTTCAAGTTGCACCAGGGGAGGTTTAGATTGGATATTAGGAAAAATTTCTTCACTGAGAGGGTGGTCAGGCATTGGAACAGGCTGCCCAGGGAGGGGGGGGAGTCGCAATCTCTGGAAGTGTTCAAGAAACGTGTGGATGTGGCGCTTCAGGACATGGTCTAGGGGACATGGTGGCGCTGGATTAATGGTTGGACTTGATGATCTTGAAGGTCCTTTCCAACCTAGTGTTTCTGTGATTTCTGTGATTTCTGTGAATTAGGACTAACCTCCTGTAACTGTTTAGCACTGAAGGTAACTTTTGACCTGTGCTCAGCCTGACCCTACAACTTCTCAGGATTATGGCTGTCCTACTTTTCAGCTAATCAGTGTTCAGTTACACTCTTTGCCTCTGCACCTGATTTGCTCATTGGTTTGTTCCAATGTACGTCCAAGCAAACCAGTAACCCCCTGGACGACTTCAACTTCCTTCATCAGTTCCTGTTCCACTTCATCATGCACCAAGTCAATCCCAGCTCGCCTCTGCCTAAACAAAAAGAGGAAAAGCCATCAGCCACATTGTCCAAATGCCTGCAGCTAACAGAAGATGATGAAGCGCAGCTTTCTAAATTGAAGGCTTTTCTTTGCCACACAGGAAGTTTTTCCTTTACAGTCTTGGTTCCCCAGTATTATAATACCTAAATCAGACTGTGACTCTATTGCGAAGAGAGGCAGGCCCTTAGTTTGCAGCCTTTTTTATTACTTGTTAAAGGTTCATTACCTATTTTTTTTTCTCTTCCTGAATGCTTTTCTTCTTAGTCACCTCACCTGTTCAGGAGACACTTCTGGGCAATGATGAGTGGCTCTTTGCAGCTCTCCAAAGAT